AATTTCTAGTTGATTTTTCTTAAGATTTTTGTTAAGTTCTTTTAATAACATTATTATTTTGTTCAATTATTATTTGTAGTGCAGTATTGTTATTTAAATTATTTAATTCGACTTCTTCATTTTATCTAATGCTTATATATTTATATTGGCAAGACTAATAAATTAGACTCTAATACCAATTCTAAACACATACAATTTTACAATGGTTTCATAATTATACTAATAGAAAAATACGGCCCTGTTGTAATTAATAGAACTTTTGGGTTTATACTTTGTTTCCATGTTTTTTTTAGGGACTAAATTGATTTGGAATTGAATCTAAAGGGATTTAGTTGGCACAACACAATTAGAATTACAGGGACTAAAATGAAATAAGTGTCAAACTTGAGGGATTATGACTATAATTCACCTTTTTTTTAGAGTGCTACTATTAGCACCTACTTAATTTCTTTGGATCCTCCAATTCTCACATTTTCTTTTATTACAATGATACCCTAAAGTAAAATTATATTAAAGGATAACTTTTAATAGAACACCCACCCACCAAATAAAAACAATTAGACTGATACTCTACAATATTGTACACCCACCTCCATCCCCATCTATACATATTCCTTACTAAACCCTAATCGTATTCTTCTTCATCACCATCCTAAACCCACGTATTCATCTTCAATGAAAAACATTTGAAACCACCTAATTAGTTAACATTTTGTTCGGTGGTTTCAAATGTGTTTGGTATTCCAAATCAGTTAACGTTGCAAACAACCTTATTACAGATTTCAAGTTTCTACATTTGTGGTCGTTTTCACCATTCGTTGATACATATAGAGCAATGAAAGAGGATGACAACAACTTTGATGAGGTTAATGTTGCATTGATAAGTTTATCTATCTTGCATTAACAATTGTGGGTTGTTTTCAGTTTGGTATTGATTTGCCGATTGTTAAGGTTCTGTTCAGTAATACAATGCTAAACATAAAGATTTTGTTCAGCACTAGAATGCTGAACGGTTCCATTTCGTACCCTATTTTTGTTTTGTTTTTTTTTTTTAGGATTTTTCCTTATAGAACCCCTTGTATTGAGGGTTTTATCCCAAAATAAACGAAAAAATAATATATGATGGGGAGTTGGAGATTGCTTGAGAGAAGAAGAAAGAGACCGTCGAAGAGATTTCCGACGAGATTTCTGACTGAGATACCATCGTTCACGGTGACAAGGAAAAAGAGACCATCATTTATGAGGGGAGAAGAGAGGGAAAATCGATTTGTCTCTCAATCATTTGTTGTTCTCAATCATCTCTCAATCGTTCATTGTTTACTAAGAGAAGAAGAAGAGATGGTATGCAAAATTAGGTGAGTGTACACTTGGGTGTGATACGGGTAAAACTGGTATTAAGTGCAGTATTTAAAGAAATCTTATTAAAATTTAAGGTTTAAAGAAATGGGGGGTCCAAAAAAATTAGGTAAGTGCTGATAGCAGCCCTCTTTTTTTATCCATATGACTAACGAATATATAATAAGTCCTATAGTTCTGACATAATTACACTGATCTCTATTTCAGTAAGGCTATAAGGACTATAAATAATGCAATTGGTTACACTGTTTTTTTGAAAATTGGGGTTTTTTTTATTTTTATTTTATTTTTATTTTTAATAGATAATTATTGTAATATTTTATGCAAATTTTTTATTTTTATTTTTTAGATACACCTAATTTAGATACACTTAAAAAATATAATATTTGTGAAAAAAAAAACTTTAAAAAATTCACTAAATACAAAATTTACAAAAAAATAAATAAAAATAAATTCAGTACATTTTCGTATTTTATTGTATTAAGTGAATTTGTAGTGTATTTTTGCATAAATTTTATATTTGGTAAGTATATCAGGATTAAGTGAATCTAAAAAGTAAAAAAAAAAAAAAAATAATTAAAATATTTTTAAAAATCACTAAAAATTAAAAACTTAAAAACCTATTTTTGAAAACTCCAAACCGAATAGGGTCATTGTTTTTTTTTATCCATATGAATAATGGATTATTGATTAGAAGTGAAGGGTTGTTTGATAACTAGATTCAGCACTTAAAACTAAATGTATTAAGTGATAATCCATTAAACCCATTTGATAATCATAATTGATATCACTTAAAAATTGAAGTGTCTCTTAAAATGTAGGATAATTTTAAAAAAAAAAAAAAAAGTCATATGAAACTTATTTAATTCTAACTGAATTTATTAATATTAAACATAAGCATCAATATATACTATTACAAAACGTTTAAAAATATACACTATAACAAACTCACCACCACCACCACCAACGCCACCGCCACCGCCACCGCCACCATTGCTATCATTATCATTACCACCATCACCATGCCACTGTCATCATTACCACTATCACCGCCACCACTACCACCACTACTACCACCACCTTTTTCACCATTGTTAATAACCACCATCATTTTACTACCACTATCATCGCTACTACTACCACTACCATCGCTACCACTACCACTACCATGCCACCTCCACCACTATTAATGCTACCACTACCACCACCACTATGCCACTACCACAACTACCACCACCTTCATTACAATTTGTTATGATTGCTAGAAACACTAGCATTATTTTACTATTGATATTGGTACCACCACCACCACCATTACTATCACTATCACAATATAAAAATTAAAATATATAATTTAAAAATAATAAATTTCAAATTTGATTGTATACGTATCAAACAATTTATTTTTAGTTCAGCATTTAAATTTTTATCAAATAGCTTTTCAACTTAAAAAATTTAGCATTCAGTTTTCAATACTTAATTTTCCGTCTTCAATTTTCAGTTTTCAGCTTTATCAAATACCACCTAAGTGTTAAGTGAATTAAAAAAATTAAAAGAACCCAACATAATATGTCTGTATCCGTGTCCATGTCCATGCTTCATAGTTTATAATTGATTATGGGTTGTAAAAGCATGTCTACGATATGGGGTTGGTAGGGTTTGGTATCTCCTTCGTAAATTTCGAGAGTTGTATTTCATAGGCCATAACAATTCTTTCCTGCTCTTAGTTACTCTTCTTTTTACGAGTCAAATATTCATTAGTTTTAGTAGACGGGAAAGGACTTTTTGGCCTCTAACTTCCACATAAAAAACACAACAACAAAGTATTATATTTTTTTAGAATAGTGAACAACAAAGTATTTTTAATATGTATATTAAGAAGAAAATTCTATGATCTTATCCTATAGAATTCCCAAATAAAAAAACAAGATCTACCATTTGACTAGGGGAAGTTCATCCAACTTGCCCTGTGTTGATGCTACATACTCTTACACGTTTGCTGCAAAATATAAAATCAAACACTAGACCAAGAAAATTTTCAAATGCCAAAAAATTTCTTAAATGGTTCCACAGTCTCAATCTGTTCCAAGTGCTTAAATTATAGTTAAAAAAGGTAGACTAACAATAGGAAAACAGGCATACCTAGTTGGATCCATGGTTTCAAATCCGCAATAACCTATTTAATTATTCAGTAGTCAACCAATCATAGGTATTAAAAATTGTTAGTGATGGTATGCATAAGACTTAAGTATTCATAATTTCCAATAAGAACTCACTAAGATGAAATAACATCCATTAAAAATTAGAGGTATATTATTTATCCCAAAAAAAAAAATAGAGGTATATTGACCGTGGGCTAGGAGCACAGCCCACCATTGTTGATCTGAGGACGGAACCAATTTGAGTCTTCCATTTCTTCATTTTTGTGATCTTCATGTCTTCTCTCATCCCTCCACTCTTGTCTTCCCCCATCATCTCATTACAACGGTTGATGGACATTCCAAATCCCGTGTGCTAACCACATATTCCATCAAGTAGGGATCCAAATCTGAGAAATATGTCAGCTTTTGACAGAGGGAATACAACTACAAACGGTGTGTATCAATCCAAGGAATTGTGCCGTTGGTTTTCATTTATTGAGGTTCAATCGGCGACCAACAACTTCGATGATGCTTTGCTCATTGGAAAAGGTGGATTCGGTAAGGTGTATAAAGGGTTCATCAATGGTGGAGCTACCATTGTCGCCATTAAGCGATCGAATTCAAAGTCCAAACAAGAGGCAGCAGAGTTTTGGACTCAGATCAAGACGCTTTCCAAGGTCAGGCACACACATCTTGTGACTCTGATTGGCTACTCTGATGATTGCGAGGAGATGATACTTGTTTAAGAATACATGGCCAATGGGACGCATGCCGAACATCTCTACAAAAATAGTAGGCAAGGAAATGGGAATGATATTTATCATCTTACTTCGGAGGAGAGGCTCAAGATTTGTATTGGTGCTGCCCATGGATTGGACTACCTTCATATGGACACTGAGAAAGGTATCATACACAGGGACGTGAAGACCACGAACATTTTGTTAGACGAGAATTGGGTAGCTAAGATTTCAGATTTTGGGTTGTCCAAAATGGTAAACACAAGCCATACACGAACCCATATTAGCACAGATGTTAAAAGGCACATTTGGTTATTTAGATCCAGCGTATTTCTTGACTCGTAGACTGACCAAGAAATTAGATGTGTATGCCTTTGGTGTGGTTCTATTTGAAGTGTTATGTGCAAGGCCACCGGTGGATACAAGTGTTGAGGAGGACCAAATGGGTCTAGCCCTATGGGCTAAAAAATGCATCAAAAAGGGAACCATTGACCAGATCATTGATCCCTCTATAAGAGGACAAATATCACCAAATTGTCTAAAGGTGTTTGCAGAAGTTGCTAACAAATGTTTACATAATTATCCAAAAGGAAGGCCTACAATGAGTGAAGTTGTGGGAAGCCTCAAGTATGGATTGGCATCACAGGCAATATTCGTATATCTCGACAAAAGGAAATAATAAGCAATCTGTTTTTGAGTACTGCACATGTAGCGGCTAAAGGTATTGATCTTGGGTGGAGGAAGTGGAAGAACAATGGTCCTAAGAATGGCGTGTCATGGCGGTTGCGGAAGGATCCAATTGCAGATGTTATCATCCAATCATACCGTCGTTTCTCTCTTGCAGAGATTCAAGCAGCCACAAATAATTTTCATGAGATTCAGGGGATTGGGCTCCGTGGTAATATCGAAGCGTATAGAGGCCACATCAGCCGCGGGAATTTTGATGTGGCAATTAAAAGGTGGAAAGAAGGAACATCAAGAAAGAGGAACTTGGACCAATTTAGGGCTGAGATCCAGGTGCACTTGTACCTCCGTCACCTCCACATTGTTTCTTTAATTGGATACTGCATTGATAAGCATGAGGTGATCCTTGTGTACGAGTATATGGTCCATGGGTCTCTTTACAATCACCTCAATGAAACCAACACGTATTCACTTAACTGGGAAAAGCGACTTGAGATTTGCATTGGTGTTGCATGAGGACTGCAGTACCTCCATGCAGGTAAGAGGCAAACAATCATTCATCACAACCTGAATCCAACCAATATTTTGCTGGAAGAGAATTGGAATGCCAAAGTGGTGCCCAAAACTGAACCAAGTACAGGCACCGTGGGATATATGGATCCAGAATACCTTGGCAATGCAAAATTTACTATAAAATCCGATGTGTACTCATTCGGTGTCATCTTACTCGAACTATTATGTGGTAGGAAGCCAATGATCTATTCAAGGGACGAGGATCAAGTGAATTTAGTTCGTTGGTTCAAAACTAATATCGAAATGGGCACCATAGATCAAATCATTGATCCGTATCTTACTGACAAAATAGCACCAGAATGCATGAAAGAATATGTCAAGAATGCAGAAAATTGCATGTGTGATGAGGGGATTGAGCATCCATCGATGGATGATGTGTTGGGTAACCTCCGGTATGCACTGCAACTGCAGGAGACTTGGCAGAATAGTAATGAACAGTTCGGTACAGTTAAGTCCCCTGAGGCCGTTGCTCGTTAGGATGGCATTGTGTTTGTTGAATCAGCCAGTGGACGAGATATTCATGAGATGAGTTTTACGAGCATAGGGGATTCAGATTGTTTTTCGGGTAATCTGGCATGGTAGCACAACTCTGTGGTCTTTACAATGAGCAAACATAAGGCCTTTCCAACTGAAACAGCATAATGCTGGCCCTGTTAGTGGATTGCTTTCCATGTATGATGTCTGAAGCTATCCACTTGCTATGTTAAAATAAACTTTGTAACATAATGAAATCCACATATTTTATAGACTTTTGTGTATTGTACAATATGGTGTTCCAACTCTTGAATCAGTTATACATTCTACCACCAACTCAACATCTTATTTCATTGACAGGAAAAAGAGATTTAGACCCACCAGATGATTTAGCTCTAGCCTCTAGGGAATTCATTTCGAGTCAAAATTCTCAGAAATACTGACTTCTTTTCCAATTCTCTCATTTTCTGAGCAAATAGGGTACATAAGAATCGACATTAATACGTGTATTTAGTAACTCAAAAATTGAAAAAAAAAATTGAATTAAATTAAATTTTAAAAAATGAAACATTAGATCCTCCAGAACATAATGGAGGGAGATTACCTGGTGGGAAGTGGCGTATTGGAACTGGTACTAGATCTAGTTGTTGAGAGTCCTTACATCCAGCGTATTTCTTGACTCGCAGACTAACCAAGAAATCAGATGTGCATGCCTTTGGTGTGGTTTTATTTGAAGTGTCATGTGCGAGGCCACTGGTGGATACAAGTGTTGAGGAGGACCAAATGGGTCTATGGGCTCACTCAGAAAATATGAGGAAGAAGAACTCCGAAAATATGAGGAAGAAGGAATATATTTCTGTTATATTCAAAACTTCTTATCTTACAAGACCAAATGACATTCCTTATATAGGAGATATTACAAACATCATTATAACCCATTATATGCCACTTACATGTTATATATTACCACTATCTACCACTATCATATTATATACATGCCACTATCTTATTATTAACACAAATTTTCAGCACTCCCCCTCAAGCTGGTTTGAAGATATCTTCCATAGCCAGCTTGCTAGTCAGCTTATCAAATTGCTTCTTGTGTAGTCCCTTCGTTAGCACATCAGCTAATTGTTCACCTGTTGGAAGGTAGGTCATACAGATTATGCCAGCATTGATTTTCTCCTTGATGAAATGTTTATCCACTTCTATATGTTTTGTGCGATCATGTAGAACTGGATTATGAGCTATAGATATAGCTGCTTTGTTGTCACAATAGACCTTCATAGATGTCGGGTGAGAAAGCTTTAATTCTTCAAGAATTCTTTTAATCCACATTACTTCACAGATTCCATGGGCAACAGCTCTGAACTCTGCTTCTGCACTACTTCTAGCTACCACATTCTGTTTTTTACTCCGCCATGTAACTAGGTTCCCACCCCACTACCATCTCACCTACTCCACTAAACCTAACCCACTACACCACTACCATCTCACCTACTCCACTAAACCTAACCCACTACACCACTACCATCTCACCTACTCCACTAAACCTAACCCACTACACCACTACCATCTCACCTACTCCACTAAACCTAACCCACTACACCACTACCATCTCACCTACTCCACTAAACCTAACCCACTACACCACTACCATCTCACCTACTCCACTAAACCTAACCCACTACACCACTACCATCTCACCTACTCCACTAAACCTAACCCACTACACCACTACCATCTCACCTACTCCACTAAACCTAACCCACTACACCACTACCATCTCACCTACTCCACTAAACCTAACCCACTACACCACTACCATCTCACCTACTCCACTAAACCTAACCCACTACACCACTACCATCTCACCTACTCCACTAAACCTAACCCACTACACCACTACCATCTCACCTACTCCACTAAACCTAACCCACTACACCACTACCATCTCACCTACTCCACTAAACCTAACCCACTACACCACTACCATCTCACCTACTCCACTAAACCTAACCCACTACACCACTACCATCTCACCTACTCCACTAAACCTAACCCACTACACCACTACCATCTCACCTACTCCACTAAACCTAACCCACTACACCACTACCATCTCACCTACTCCACTAAACCTAACCCACTACACCACTACCATCTCACCTACTCCACTAAACCTAACCCACTACACCACTACCATCTCACCTACTCCACTAAACCTAACCCACTACACCACTACCATCTCACCTACTCCACTAAACCTAACCCACTACACCACTACCATCTCACCTACTCCACTAAACCTAACCCACTACACCACTACCATCTCACCTACTCCACTAAACCTAACCCACTACACCACTACCATCTCACCTACTCCACTAAACCTAACCCACTACACCACTACCATCTCACCTACTCCACTAAACCTAACCCACTACACCACTACCATCTCACCTACTCCACTAAACCTAACCCACTACACCACTACCATCTCACCTACTCCACTAAACCTAACCCACTACACCACTACCATCTCACCTACTCCACTAAACCTAACCCACTACACCACTACCATCTCACCTACTCCACTAAACCTAACCCACTACACCACTACCATCTCACCTACTCCACTAAACCTAACCCACTACACCACTACCATCTCACCTACTCCACTAAACCTAACCCACTACACCACTACCATCTCACCTACTCCACTAAACCTAACCCACTACACCACTACCATCTCACCTACTCCACTAAACCTAACCCACTACACCACTACCATCTCACCTACTCCACTAAACCTAACCCACTACACCACTACCATCTCACCTACTCCACTAAACCTAACCCACTACACCACTACCATCTCACCTACTCCACTAAACCTAACCCACTACACCACTACCATCTCACCTACTCCACTAAACCTAACCCACTACACCACTACCATCTCACCTACTCCACTAAACCTAACCCACTACACCACTACCATCTCACCTACTCCACTAAACCTAACCCACTACACCACTACCATCTCACCTACTCCACTAAACCTAACCCACTACACCACTACCATCTCACCTACTCCACTAAACCTAACCCACTACACCACTACCATCTCACCTACTCCACTAAACCTAACCCACTACACCACTACCATCTCACCTACTCCACTAAACCTAACCCACTACACCACTACCATCTCACCTACTCCACTAAACCTAACCCACTACACCACTACCATCTCACCTACTCCACTAAACCTAACCCACTACACCACTACCATCTCACCTACTCCACTAAACCTAACCCACTACACCACTACCATCTCACCTACTCCACTAAACCTAACCCACTACACCACTACCATCTCACCTACTCCACTAAACCTAACCCACTACACCACTACCATCTCACCTACTCCACTAAACCTAACCCACTACACCACTACCATCTCACCTACTCCACTAAACCTAACCCACTACACCACTACCATCTCACCTACTCCACTAAACCTAACCCACTACACCACTACCATCTCACCTACTCCACTAAACCTAACCCACTACACCACTACCATCTCACCTACTCCACTAAACCTAACCCACTACACCACTACCATCTCACCTACTCCACTAAACCTAACCCACTACACCACTACCATCTCACCTACTCCACTAAACCTAACCCACTACACCACTACCATCTCACCTACTCCACTAAACCTAACCCACTACACCACTACCATCTCACCTACTCCACTAAACCTAACCCACTACACCACTACCATCTCACCTACTCCACTAAACCTAACCCACTACACCACTACCATCTCACCTACTCCACTAAACCTAACCCACTACACCACTACCATCTCACCTACTCCACTAAACCTAACCCACTACACCACTACCATCTCACCTACTCCACTAAACCTAACCCACTACACCACTACCATCTCACCTACTCCACTAAACCTAACCCACTACACCACTACCATCTCACCTACTCCACTAAACCTAACCCACTACACCACTACCATCTCACCTACTCCACTAAACCTAACCCACTACACCACTACCATCTCACCTACTCCACTAAACCTAACCCACTACACCACTACCATCTCACCTACTCCACTAAACCTAACCCACTACACCACTACCATCTCACCTACTCCACTAAACCTAACCCACTACACCACTACCATCTCACCTACTCCACTAAACCTAACCCACTACACCACTACCATCTCACCTACTCCACTAAACCTAACCCACTACACCACTACCATCTCACCTACTCCACTAAACCTAACCCACTACACCACTACCATCTCACCTACTCCACTAAACCTAACCCACTACACCACTACCATCTCACCTACTCCACTAAACCTAACCCACTACACCACTACCATCTCACCTACTCCACTAAACCTAACCCACTACACCACTACCATCTCACCTACTCCACTAAACCTAACCCACTACACCACTACCATCTCACCTACTCCACTAAACCTAACCCACTACACCACTACCATCTCACCTACTCCACTAAACCTAACCCACTACACCACTACCATCTCACCTACTCCACTAAACCTAACCCACTACACCACTACCATCTCACCTACTCCACTAAACCTAACCCACTACACCACTACCATCTCACCTACTCCACTAAACCTAACCCACTACACCACTACCATCTCACCTACTCCACTAAACCTAACCCACTACACCACTACCATCTCACCTACTCCACTAAACCTAACCCACTACACCACTACCATCTCACCTACTCCACTAAACCTAACCCACTACACCACTACCATCTCACCTACTCCACTAAACCTAACCCACTACACCACTACCATCTCACCTACTCCACTAAACCTAACCCACTACACCACTACCATCTCACCTACTCCACTAAACCTAACCCACTACACCACTACCATCTCACCTACTCCACTAAACCTAACC